TCAGAGACTAGTAGTGCTGCCATTGCTGGTGAGAGGCCACTTGTGAAGCCAAATTGTAATTCTGATTGTTTATCTAATTTCAGAAGTATTCTATTAAGGATAACATGTTCAAAAAATTTTCCAATAATTGACGAGACGGTGATGCCTCTGTAGTTATCAAGTATTTTGTCATCTTTATTTTTCTTGCATACTGCATTAAGAATACCGGTTTTGAATTGGATTGGTACTTTTTTCTCAGCCAAAATTTGATTAAATAGAGAAACAAGATACGGAACAACAACCTCTTCAGCAGATTTGAAGTGTTCAGCAGAAAGCCCATATTCATCGCATGCCTTTCCATTGTTCAGATTTGATATTGCCTCTGAAATTTCGGCGGGGTTGAATTTGTCTGAACTGAAATCAGATAAGCTACAGATTTCTTTTATAATTTCACAGCGGAATTGGCAGTTATTTAGGAAATTTTCATCAAAGTCAGGATCGTCCTTAGGTGTTGCTAAATTTTGAAAATATTTTGCCATTGCCTCCCTTTGTTCTTCTGGATCGGTGAGTTCATGATCATCATATAGTATGGTTGTAGCAAGTTCTTTAGTGCTGTTTGTATTTCTGAGTATTAATCTGTAGAAATTTTTAGAGTTGGGTTCACTTTCCATTTTTTTATAAAATTCTTTACATTCAGCTGCTCTCTCTTGCCGTAATCTTTTTCTAACATTTCTTTTTGCTTCCTTCAGTTCCAAAAAACAAGTGTCCTCACCTCTCTTTCTTCCATGTAGGTCCCATATCCTGTGTTTCTGCTTACTAATCGTTAGCAACTTTTTTGCATGTTGCGAAACTTTTAGTCTTGGGCCGCGGATTTTCAGAGTTTTTGTCGGAATTGTTTTCCTTGCAGCTTGTTTAATTGCATCTATCAGATTAGTTGTTTGGTCTTCCGTTGTTACTTTTCGATTTTTATTTTGGTCTTAAGATTTTTTCACTGCTTCACTGTAAATTGTTGGTATACATTTTCCCCATTCTGTTTTATGCAGTACCTCGTTGCTGAAATTTTTAGTTTATGCTTGTCAGCTTGAAGTGTTAAAAGAGCCTTGACTGGTACATGGGCTGATAAATTTATTGCATCTTGAGAGAAAGTTTGAATAGAGTGGATAAGGTTGCTATTTGATGACAGGATGTAGTCTATTTTAGACGTAGATTTTCCATTATGATGAAAGAAAGAGTGTAGGTGATCATCAGTATCTAGTTGGTGTAGATTATAGTCTTTGACAAACTCTTTTAATAATTTATTCTATCATGTTGGTTTTGTCTTGAATTGAGTAAGGTTCCGTTTAGGTCCCCACAGATTATGAAATCCATATAACTATAACAGGGGTTTTCGTCGTTCCTGTTATATTTAGAGTTCTGGGGGAAAGTCACTGTATAAAGTCAACAAAACTAAGTTAAGCTTTACGATGGTTTATATAATAACTTCTTCAATAGTGCAATACATTAATTACAATAAAAGTTCAACGGTAATATTCCGAAAAGATAAAACAAACGGAAATTCCAATAAATGTTCTATACTAAACACAATGAATGTCACTGTAATTGCACGGCGTCCGTACAGCTTGACCGCTGGTATCCAACTGACCATTTACATAGAAACGATCTAATATGAATTACGTAATCCTACTTAATCATAACTACATGTAATAATGAAATTTGTCACTTAATGATTCAAACAAATAATACAATTAAAAACATATATATGATAACAAGAAATGGACAATGCTAGGATTAAAATGGATTAACTTCTCAACATGTAAGCTAACAATTTCGAGAACAATAGTCGCTTGCTTTTAGATAAAGTTTGAATTTCCACGAAATAAATCAAAGAGGAAAATATCGCTGTCACAAATTCCCTCCGACTTGAAAAAGACTCTGTCCCAGAGTCTAATAAAAATACTGTCTTCTTCTTCCACGGGATGGATCGTGGTTTACATTTTGTCCTTTATTTTGATTCTGTCTTGACCGCGATTGATTTCGAACTTTGCAGTCACAAGAGTCATTTCTTAAAGCGTTAATTTCCGTTTCTAATTTCCTGCAACTAGTGGTTAAATCTTTTATCTTCTTTTGGATTGCTAGTTCTGATACGTCCAAGCCTGATATTTTGATGTAGAGCGTTCCGATTGTTCTCTCCAATTTATCGTTTTCAAGATTCCGAAATTCTATTTCTCGCGATAGTTCTGTGCTTTTAGAAATTGCTTTCTGGAGCTTGGTTTTTAATGTTTTGTTCTCTTGCTTAAGAAACTCGATTTCCTGTCTGAGCGATTTTCTGTTTTCTTTCAATTGATCTTTTATTAAATCAACGACTGATTCAAGTTTCACTTTTTCTTTCAAAATTTGGGTTTGACTTGTTTGAAGTAAATTTACCTGGAAATGTAGTATTGAATTTGTCCGTGTTGCTTTACGAAATTCTGCATCGTCTAAGGTGAAGAAAGGGAAATTCTCACAAGTTTTACGCTGTATAAATAAGGAAAGTCTTTCGAAATCTCTGTCTAGCTTTTTCTTTGATTTTATACTGATTTCTGCACAACATTGTTTATAAAAATGTCCTGATTGTCCACAGCGGAAACATCTCACTGTTTTATCGATATTTGAATTTGTAACACGAAGAAAATCCGAACGTTCTAGATTATAACCGTTTTCTACAAAAAATGGCTGATTGTTCACATTGCACTTCTTTCTAGTATTATCAGGTGGACACCACCAATTAAATCTGTGTCTCAATTTGTAATCCATTATACAGTTGTAGAGCGTAGGTATGATCTTGTGTACAGTTTGTCTGATAAGTGTGAAACTAAGCAAACTGTCCCGGGTACCTCCACCAATTTATAACAGGGGTTTTCGTCGTTCCTGTTATATTTAGAGTTCTGGGGGAAAGTCACTGTATAAAGTCAACAAAACTAAGTTAAGCTTTACGATGGTTTATATAATAACTTCTTCAATAGTGCAATACATTAATTACAATAAAAGTTCAACGGTAATATTCCGAAAAGATAAAACAAATGGAAATTCCAATAAATGTTCTATACTAAACACAATGAATGTCACTGTAATTGCACGGCGTCCGTACAGCTTGACCGCTGGTATCCAACTGACCATTTACATAGAAACGATCTAATATGAATTACGTAATCTTACTTAATCATAACTACATGTAATAATGAAATTTGTCACTTAATGATTCAAACAAATAATACAATTAAAAACATATATATGATAACAAGAAATGGACAATGCTAGGATTAAAATGGATTAACTTCTCAACATGTAAGCTAACAATTTCGAGAACAATAGTCGCTTGCTTTTAGATAAAGTTTGAATTTCCACGAAATAATTAAATCAAAGAGGAAAATATCGCTGTCACATAACAATACTTTTGTATAAGGAATTTAATAATATCCATGCCAAGAAATCCTCGCTAAAAATTCCGGTCGACCTCCTACGGCATCAATTAGTAGTTAAAGATTTGATTTCATTCAATAAATTAATTTATGACCCGCGTGTACGTCTCACTTAAAACACAGCCATATACCAAATGGTCAAAATTAATCATCCATGTAATTTGCTCTATGGGATGTTTGCAAAATTTCAACGGAGGCAATTTCTTGGCATGGGAGAAAGGAAGAAAGACCATTCACAATTTGTCTTACATTTGTTTTTCTCTCTTTCAATTAAATAAAAAAAAGTTAAACCTTTCAGATGTAGAGTTCATATAAGAAGGAAATATTCCCTGTGGAACACCCCCACCCCCACCCCCTTTTTTTTGTGCTCTCTATTTTCAACCCTCTTATCTAATTAAAATTAAAACTTTGATTTCTAACCGATCTATTCATGTACCGGACAGGCAACTTTTTTTATTTAATAAGAAAATCTTCATTGCCGTTATACACATGCATGTTGATTGCTTGGAGTCCCCGCCCGAAAAGAAAGAAATAGTCTAACTCCAAGATACTATATTCCTGAATCACGTGATTTTTACTACGTGGAACTTAAATTAGAATAAATACCGAATATGGAAAGTGAAACTACAATCCATAACATAAAGTCCGTTGGCAAATAGAAGAAAAAGAAGATTATTTTTGGCAAAGGGTACCGGGGTAATCCTCTTTGTGTTCAAAATATACATGAAATATTTGCCACTGCCCCTTGTCTCGGTTCTATGAATGTTTACCCTGAGTTGTCTGTCTGTTACATGCCAAGAAATCCTCGCTAAAAATTCCGGTCGACCTCCTACGGCATCAATTAGTAGTTAAAGATTTGATTTCATTCAATAAATTAATTTATGACCCGCGTGTACGTCTCACTTAAATCACAGCCATATACCAAATGGTCAAAATTAATCATCCATGTAATTTGCTCTATGGGATGTTTGCAAAATTTCAACGGAGGCAATTTCTTGGCATGTAAATTTTCCCTATATTTTATTACTGAGTTTGTATTTAAAGTTGGTAGGTATGAGTTGATAATACAAACTTGTCGATCCTTGGTCTGAATAGAGATGGCAATAACTCTTTCGTTGCCTTCTTGCAATTTTCTAATTAAAATCGTTCCACTTTTTAGGCCATAAGATAGCAATACCCGCTTGTCCCCTTGGTGCTTGGAAATTTACAATAGGATCGAATGTATCATGACATCTTATGTAATTATTAAAATTTGGAAATAATTCATCCAGTTTTCCTTTCTCATAGTCCCAAAGCCAATGTTCTTGAGCACACAGAATTGTATCCCGTGCTTTAAGTAGGTTTAAAATATAGTTTTGATTGGTTTTGACCCCTTCAACATTGAAAGTGGTTACTTTTAATCTCTCGTGGTTTGGCTGTAAGAAAGAAACGTGTATTTGTTGTCTGGTGGTTGTTTCCTTAGGCCGGGAAGTTCTAAAAAATTCTGTGATGTGCTATCGACACTACATGAGGCTCCTATATCTTTTGTTATTTGCTCTACTTCACAGGATGGTGATTGGTGGATATTGGTTGAAGTAGTCGTAGTCACAGAATTGTCAGTGAATGCAATTATATTTCTCTTTTCCTTACCAGATTTTTTTACACTTTGAAACTTTGGACTTTTCCTCTCATCTGTATTAGTTGCCAGTTCAATGTCAATTTGAAACTTTGGACTTTTCGTCTATGTAATTGTAACACCTTGTAAATAGTTTTATCTTATATGTACAGTGAAAATCAAAAACAAGTTATTATTTCTTTATTTAAATTTTGATGTAAATATATATTTGTAAATTCTACCCACGCATGCACGGCACATAGTCATCAATATTATGATGGAGTGCGGAAACTGAAAGAAGAAGAAGAACAAAAAAACACGCCCCTGGTGTATGTAAGCTGACTGATACTGGTGACCTTGGTCATGGGACATGTTTACTTCCTCGACCTCGTACCTTAACAGATTTAGACATACCGAACCGGTAAGATTTTTACTAATAGTAAGTTATAATACGCATGATATAGACATTAAACAACGACACAGATTCGCAGAATTTATAAGTTTTCACACAGCCATATCTCTGACGTAATCAAGTCTAATTAGTGCACAAAACTTATGTGTTTGTCAACAGAATTATTTGATTATTATAGAATTTTCAATTTCGGCATGATTATATGTGCCCTAATCAACAGATTCGCAGACTTTGAAAGTTTGTACAGAGCCATGCATATCCCTGACGTAATCAAGTCTACGTATGTGCAGAGACATATACTACAAGAGATTCGCAACTCGGCGAAATCCCGTAATAACACGCGGCCACTAGTTAAACCTCGCGAGATCTCCTTAGGTAATAAAGTCATTAATAAAAGTATTAAAAGTACTCGAAGTAAGGACGAATGTTTAAGCATAACATAAACTGTTTCAGTGTTAAATTTATCATAATTAATTAAATATAATTTGAGTACATATATAATTATTTATTTTAATGTAATTTTGATTTTAGATTTGTATTTTGAAAAAGAGACATAATTTGATATTGTATAAAAAAAAAAACGGATATTAAATAATTAACACTTATTTATATATTTATATTTATTCAAGATAAAAAGGCATGAATTTGACAGATACAAAATATTACAAAGACACAGATATAGCACTAGACATAGTTTATAGACACTAAAATGATATACATGTTTACTAAAAATTTTAAATTAAGAAATAAAAAATAAAATTATGAAAATTTTCATGATATTTTGATAATATGATTAGACTAGATTAGAAATGAGTGAAATTTAACTTGACTAGATTTTACACTGTAGCCTAATATCTTAGGATGACCCACAAAAGTTAGTAAAACTTATTTCCAGTGGGGTCCTTTTATAACAAGACTTCCAGTTTACACCAAGGGTTGACACATAGAAAATACAAGCACAAATCATCTAAAATTTATCACAGATAAATGGTCAAAGCCCCAATATAATTAATAAAAAACAAATTCACTATTAAAGATAGATTTAAATTTATCCATCAAAAATTTTTTCACCTGCACTTTAAAATTATATTTTTTAGAGCAACTTTTAATCATGTCTGGTAACGAATTCCAGTCTTTTATTCCATTATAAAAGAAAGTGGTGGATTCACACCCTTTTATTCCTGGTATATAAAAGTTTTTACTACTAGATCTTGTATTGAAAGATGTTTCATTTGTAACAAAATTAGTATGTAAATAATTTGGGCATATATTGTTAAAAATGTTAAAAACATGATTGAGTCTTAGTTGTTTGACTCTATTACTAATATTTAAAAAGCCCAATTTCTTGAATTCAATATATGTCACACTCTTTCTGGGATGTAATTGCAGAATAAATCTCACAATCTTATTTTGTGCCACTTGAAGTTTATTCTTCATTTGTTTTGATATACCTTCATACCAGCATGCACATGCATAGTCAAAATGACATTGAATCAGGGAAGAGCACAATGTTTTCCTAGATTGAAAATTTAGACACTCTTTGTTTCTATATAAAAATTTAAGCCTTTGATTGACTTTTTTCACTATAGAGTTGACAATAAAATCACCAGTTAGAAACTGATCAATTATTATTCCCAAATATTTTACAAAAGTTTTGGATTCAATATTAATACCATTACAGGAGATAGATTTAATGATCTTCTTGAACACTTGATAAATTGTGTCAGAGTTCATTTTATTTGATAGTTACATAATGGGTTTCTTTTGAATATACACCTGTCTCGGAGACATAATTTCACAGTGTGACATGTATATTAGGTTTGAATTATTCGATGACCAGGTAAATCACGAACATGTTATAAATAATGAGTTTTAATTGACACCTTGTAAACAAGAAGTTGTCACACCACAGGTGTCCACACTCTTTCCAAAAATACAAGTCACAAAATGTATAATTAATTAATATGGAAAAAAACTTAATTTATTTGTTAATTAATTGTTAATCATGAAAGGCTTTGTTTTTTATTCTTGATATTTATAAATTATTAAAATTTTATTTATTTTTATATTCCTCATTTATTGGGCTTTCATTGAGTTTTTTTTCTGTAGGATTGTCGGTAAATGTTTGATTTCTAAGTGTTGTTTGACAGTTTTATCATATAGGCTTGCATTGAGTTGTTTTTTTAAATGATTGTCGGTAAATTTATGGTTTCTTCATGTTCGAAGTGTGTATTGAGAATTAATATTTAAGAAAATTACAATTAATTTCTCATTTGAATAAAGCTTCATTCATGTGCACGCAATATGGAAAATTCCGATTTTATTTCGTGGGATGACAATCTTAATTTCGTGGGATGACAATCTTAATAGTTACGACTTAGATATACTCCTAGTTGAATAAACTGATAACGAACTCTTTGTTGATAGTGAAAAGGACGAAAACATAAGCGAGAGACCCACCAACAAAAACAATTGACAATACTGCATACATAGATGGATATGTGTGTCCTCGAATGCAACAAAAAATCTATAAAAAAACACAGGTCATACAATCAAATCAAATCAAATCAAATCAAATAATTTTATTGGTGTAAATTCCAATACAGGAATGATACCAGCTGACATTTACAAAATACAAATACAAAAACAGACAAAAATAAACAAAAAAACAAATATACAGAGATATGTTTTCTCAATGATGAGACACATATTTTATATCTACATTGCGTGGAGGTGTTATTCATACTATATTATCACTTCAAGTTATTACAATAAGCTTTAATACTACAACAGTTCTTAACAACATTATGTTTGCTTTAAATGAATGTTCGAATCATACATATCGCTTATTCCACATGTTCCAGCTACACATACAGTACAAATGTCAGTATCATTACTTTTCAAAATGAAACTAAATTTATCTTGTTCAGACATATTAACAAAAGATGGAACTATATCACTTAAATTACAAAAGAGTATATTTCTATTAAATTCTAACGCTTTACATTTAATGAGGAATGATGGAATTCATCTTCAATTCCATCCTTGCAAAGTGGACAAATTCTCTGTTCTAAAGGTGTTCTAGTATATCTACCAACTTCTATTAGTAATTTGCTATTACTAATTCTAATTTTTACCATTTTAGAAATAACATTTTTGTTAAGGTCCAGTAGGAGATATTTTTCTAATTCGTAATTATTTTTAACTTTGCGATACGTTCTTAGTTTATTACCATGACTATCTTTATTAGAGTCACAGTAAAGAGCTTGTTTCCAGGATTTTATGAATTCCTCCTCTAATTTCTTCTGAACTGAAAAAAGTAATTTTGTCTTTGACATAGTATTTTGATTTTCCCAAACATGCTGAAAACCAAGTTTACCTAATAACACTTTTATTTTACTACAAAAACCATTAGACATGTTAAAGTTATCACTGTATGCTTTCTTTACCATACTCTCGCTATTCATATTAATGATATGAATCCAGAAATTAATTGTATTTTTAAGGGCTGACAATGAAAGTGGGAATAATCCTAATTCAGCAATACAGCATTATTCACAGCACCTTTATTTACACCCAATAAAAATTTAGCAAATTTGATTTGAATCTTATTTGGACTAAAGTTTGCATAGTTTGACTCTATGGTAGTATTTTGTTTCACTAAACTAACGGTAGCCCAAACTTCACTGCTATTTAATAAAATAGGTTTAACACATGAATCAAAAAGCTTTAAATGTGGTAGTAAATTCATCTTTTCAGAATATAATAATTTTCTAATACAAAAAATAGCTTTGCTAGCCTTTTAAGTTAACTGATCAATTGCTGTAGTAAAAGATACATACATCAAAGCAACACGGAAGACACTATTTAAAAAGTATTTTATAACCTTGTTTCCATGAGACAATCATTTGTAGTGGTTTTTGTCTTTTAATCATTTGTAGCGGTTTTTGTCTTTTTATTCTGGGGTAAAGAGATGGCAATTTAAAAGTAAGATTGTTTATGTGTTTACATATACAAATCCTTGGTGTAAATAAAATCTTTTTATTATCAAATATATATATACCATTGAAATGTCCTCAATACGATTTTAATTTAAAAATGAATTAAGTTCATGTTTTGAACGAGAAGCGTAGTCTGAAACGACAACAGATGCATATGAAGCTCATTCATAATATTACGATCAGCAAAAGGTTTCCTTTACTAGGAAAATTTTACTCCTTTTGTAAATTTACTGCATTCGTTCATCTTTGGCACCCTAAAAAGAAGAAAAAAACAATGACTTCAGAATAGGAGAAAATAAACAACTTTGCTATAAACAGAATGAAAAATGAATAAAATGTCTAACAAAATGCAGGCTATAAATTTCATAGTGCACAAAAAAGAAGGACTGATTTAAGGAAATTTGTCCATGAACAATCTCAATATTTAGCCAGTTTAATAAAAAAAATGCGGAATAAAGACTAACTTTCAAAATTATGTAGAAAAAATCCACTAAATTTCCAGTGCCTATGCTGGGAATCGATCTCAAGACCTTAAGCATATGAAGCCATGATGTATATCCTTACACCAGGACGACTAGATATATACAAGTATTGTATGGCATTCTGAACTAGATGTTAAGAAGCATAAATGTTTTTTTTTCATATAGTCTAGAAGAGCTGGGCTGTAATATAGTTAACCCACTCGGCCATCAGGGTGATCTGACACACCGCGTCCTCATGGGATAACTATTACTGAATACTTACCTTGATCGCTGATCTGTCACGTGACAGATGTACACGTTTTGCATTTACAACACAAGCTCTCATAGTTAGAATTATTACTCGTGCATGAAAATGTTGTTTTACATGATGTTAAAATCCTCGCGAAGTAAAGTTTCATGGTTCATTTCATGCACCTATAAAATAGAACCAAATCAACCTTCAGGCAAGCCAGTCCCTTAACATGTTTAAGAAAATATTTCATTCCATTTAAAATTGAGAATGGAAATGGGGAATGTGTCAAAGAGA